TACATATATATATATATATATATACATATATATATAAATACATATATATATATACATATATATATAAATACATATATATATATATATATATATATATGTATATATATATACACATGCATACATACACACACACACACACACACACACACCCAGTTGAAGTCAGAACTATTAGCCCACTTTTGATTTTTTTTTTTAAATCCCTTTTTTAAATATTTCCCAAATGATGTTTAACAGAGCAAGGAAATATTCACAGTATGTCTGATAATTTTTTTTTACTCTGGAGAAAGTCCTATTTGTTGTATTTCGGCTATAATTAAAGCAGTTTTTTATTTTTTTAAAAACCTTTTAAGGTCAAAATAATTAGCCTGTTTCTTTTTTCAGACAGTCTACAGAGCAAACCATCGTTATACAATATCTTGCCTAATTACCCAAACCTGCCTAATTAACCTAGTTAAGCCTTTAAATGTCACTTTAAGCTGTATAGAAGTGTCTTGAAAAAAATAAACAGGGTGCTAATAATTCTGACTTCAACTGTATATTAAGAGAAAGAGCTGAGCCTCCCTAAATTGAAAATCCTAAAATCGCCCCTGATTTGAGGTTAATTTACTATCCTGTGCAGCAATGCGGAGATTAAATTATTACAGAAAATACATAAAATCTGAATGGCAGAAAACCCAAAGTGATTGAATACATTTAAAGGAAAAACGATGAACCTTTTAGTGAAATTTGAATCATTATTGTTCGATAATTCCCAAGTTTAACAGAGCAGGCTCATATTTCACAGCATTTCCTATTGTATTTTTCCTCTGGAGACATTACATTGCGCCATGCCAAAAGACTTTTTAATTCTACACAGGGTTTTATTCTACAAATGCTGACACTTTTCATATATTTATGCCATTTTGAATTAGAAATGGTCAGTTTTATTTACTTAATACGTTGTTTTTTTACTACGGTAAACAGGTGTTGAGCATATTTGACTCATTTTAGAACATATTTCTGTCTATAAAATGCAGTAAAAGACTACTTATTAGTAGTATACAAGTTTAGTATACAATCATATAAGTCAAACACTTTTAAGTGTATTACTTTAAAATTATTTCTTAAAAGATAATTATTAGGCTTATATATATATATATATATATATATATATATATGTGTGTGTGTGTGTGCGTGTGTGTGTGTGTGTGTATATATACATACATACATACATACATACATACTCACACACAGTAAGTCAGTACTATTAGCCCCCTTTTGTTTTATTTTTAAATCCCTTTTTTTTAATATATCCCAAATTATGTTTAACAGAGCAAGGAAATGTTCACTGTATGTCTGATAATATTTTTTCTTGTGGAGAAAGTCTTATTTGCTTTATTTCGACTAGAATTTAAGCAGTTTTAAATTTTTTGAAAATCATTTAAAGACCATTAGCATTTCGGTCAAAAATGACCAAAGAGGTTAAATACTTGTTCTATTTAAAATGTGATTAAATGTATAGTATCAAGTTTAACTCAATATTTGTGTTTGTTCTTATTGCACCCAGTTTGGGTTAGAATAACAAATTTTTAGGACTCATACACAGCGAACGCGTCTTTGCTTCTAAAAACGAGACGTGGCGCTGAGAAAGAGGTTTAAAAAAGCGTGAGGCGATATTATGACTGTGATGTAACAACGACAACAACAAACACATTAGAAATAGGAATATATGTTATGATAAGCACTTGAAGATGCATAACTCAAGATATCTGGTCAAAATCACAATGGGCTCCTTTTTTTGGCATGATATAGGGGTAAATAAAGCAGTTGTCATGCCAACTTTCTACTATAAACAGAAGCTCACAATGGTTGTCTCACCTCCGAGCTCTTCTGATTCATCCACTGCTATGGAACTAACAGTAATGAGCAGCTCTGCATGTTGAAATGACAGATTTTTTAACCTGACACAGTGTGTAGAAATGTGGTGCTTCAAAAAACACAAGTCAAGCACTTGTTTACATTGAAAAACAATCTAAGATTAGCGCATTGGAGGGGGAGAAGGCAGTGTGTGTGTGTATCGAGTGTCTCATGCTATTTCTTTAAGCCTCTCATATTGGACTCTAAAAACATGTTTTATTTTCCCTTTCAGGAGGAAACATCCAAAGCAGGAGGGAAGAGCAAAAAACCCAAGAGCAAGAAGACAAAGTAAAAGTCTACTTGGACTAGATATAGACCGGATTCTGACGAATGAAATCAACCGAGACTTCTTTTAATAGGAGGCTTAAACAACTTGAGAGTCACAACACAAACAGCTCCTGCGCGCAATCGAGTTTAATGCTCTGTTGCTACACTTGATGTCACACTAAGTGCTTTGTCTTATGAATAAAGATTTTTATGAATTACAAATTGATTCGCAAATGAGGCTTTCCTGAGGAGTCGCAAGGACAAACGGATGCGAAGCAGGTAATAAAATACCCCTGACATTCATCAGCGACCTTTGACCCCTCCTCCAGTTTAATGAGGCTTTAATAGCATAATTTAATAAAGCCTGACAAAAGCAATTTCAGGTTTAGTAGAAGCGTCACGCCAGCACGAGTGTCTAAGAAGGGTTTTACCGCAAATGTCCACACAAAACTGACCCGAAGTCGTTCTCACGCTTTGATTGTCAAACGTCTATTACTGTATATTCATACATTTAATCCCCACTCGCTCTACGATATTACGCTTTCACTCATTGTTAACCTTTTTTAAACAGTGCATGACAATATGGAAAAGTACTGAAAAATCTTACGTAAAAGTATTCAATCCATCTTCATTTCTCTAGCGCTCCTACACTGTAGATTGTGTCAAAGCAGCTAATCATGGAAGTTCCAGTAAACTGAAACTGTGTCAGTTCAGAGTTAAGCTCAGTTCATTGTGGTTTACTTAGAGTGAGAGTCCAAACACCGAAGAGCAAAGCCATTACCGGCAGCTCCACAAGTCCTAAACCAAGCAAGCCAGTGGCGACAGTGGAGGATCAAACTTCACCAGTTGACCAAAGTGAAGAAACCTTGAGAAGGAACAAGCTCAGTTGGGCGCAACCATTTCTACTCCGGCCAAACTTCTTGTGCAGAGCTGCAGTCTAGGCTCTGGAGACTGGAGAACGCTGGACGTCCATTGTGGAGAAGATGCAGGTGTGAAAAGGTCACTGGCGGGTGTTTAGGTTGGCTATCCGGGATCAATGCGGAGACTGGAGTCTTTCAGGATTCACACTCTCCGCTCCGCCATGACCACCACAGAATTTGCTCAGGATACGGCCTGGTCCAGGATTATGGAGACCTTAGGTGAAAGTAGGTGTCGCGGGCAAAAGTTAAGAGTGGGGGATGTTGGCTTTGGGGGCCCCCTAATAGAAACTCTGGGCGGCCCAAAATGGTGTGGGCATTTAGAATCGCTATAACTCCCCTCTCCCACCCCGTATACCATCTAAACACTAGCCTAGAGCACTATCTGCTAATAAAAACTAGCCTAGAAAGCCATCTGGTGTTAAAAATTAGTCAAGAGCCCCATATGCTGATAAAAACTAGCCTAGAGCTCCATCTAGTGTTAAAAACTAGGCTAGGTCGCCATCTGGTCCTAAAAACTAGCCTAGAGAACCATCTGCTGTTAAAACCTAGCCTAGAGCGCCATCTACTGTTAAAAACTAACCTAGAGCGCCATCTGCTGTTTAAAACTAGCCTAGAGCACCATCTAGTGTTAAAATCTAGGCTAGATCGCCATCTGGTCAAAAAAACAAGCCTAGAGCACCATCTGCTGTTAAAAACTAGCCTAGGGCACTACCTGATGTTAAAAACTAGCCTACAGCGCCATCTGCTGTTTAAAACTAGCCTAGGGCACCACCTGCTGTTAAAAACTAGCCTACAGCGCCATCTGCTGTTCAAAACTAGCCTACAGCGCCATTTGGTGTTAAAAATTAGCCTAGAGCACCATCTACTGTTAAAACCTAGCCTAGAGCACCCTCTTCTGTTAAAAACAAGCCAAGAGCACCATATGCTGTTAAAACTAGCCTAGAGAGCATCAGATTACACTGCTAGCATCTCGATCAAAAATGACTACAAAGATTAAATACTTTTCCTATTTAAAGCTTGTCTCTTTTGTAGTTACATCGGGTATTGACACCAATGGAAAATGAAAAGTTGCTATTTTCTACGCCTGTTAGGCTAGACTAGGAACTATACTCTTATTCTGGCATAATGAACAAGCAAATATAAATTATGCAGCGCCTCAAAATAGTTCCTTAATTATTATGCCACAATTAGAGTATAGTTCCTAGCCATGTCGACCTAAAAAGTCCCAATTTTGGCCATTTTTGAGCAAGATGCTAACCGTGTAATCGGATACAATGAACTATGCTAAGCTAAGCTAAAACTCCTCCCGCCAGACCCAGAGATCGGCTGAATGTAGTCAAAAAAGGTCAAACTCAACAGTTTAACTTTACCCTGCTGTAAAATCTAGCCTAAACCAGCCTAGGATGGGTGGCTGGTTTTAGCTGGTCGACCAGCCTGGTTTTAGAGGGGTTTTGGCCACTTCCAGGCTGGTTTCCAGCCATTTCCAGCCTGGTCTTAGCTAGTCAGGCTGGAAAGTGACCAGCTAAAACCCTCTAAAACCAGCTGGACCATCCTGGTTTAAGCTGGACATAGCTGGTTTTGGCTGGTCATTTCCCAGCCTGTCCAGCTAAAACCAGACTGGAAATGGCTGAAAACCAGCCTGGAAGTGGCCAAAACCCCTCTAAAACCAGGCTGGTCGACCAGCTAAAACCAGCCACCCATCCTAGGCTGGTTTAAGCTGGATTTTTCAGCAGGGTAGAGAATATATAAAATGAGATTATTTTCAAAACAGAAGTGGAGCGTTCCTTTTAAAGTACTGAGATGAACGACGTGTTATAGTCATTTGAGTATACCCACTGGTTAGTTCACGAGTCAAACTTTCCATGGCCAAAGTCTGTCCCCACCTGCTGAGACTTCCACGCTATGACTAGCATGCTAATTCTCCCTTAATGAGCTCAAGTGAGAATAACTTGAACGTTTTGGCGGTCAGCGTCCTAATAAGCAGATGCTAGGTCACGGGAGAGCCTCAGGAAAACCATGCAGGAATTGGAGACACATTGCGTGACGGTTCGGCGCCGTGTCTCGGAAAGCAACGAGTTGGTTTGTGTGTGCGCTTTTTTTTTTTTTTTTTTGCGTCCCCGAATGCTTTTAAACCTGTAGACCTCAGCCTGGAGAAATGAGTCATCTAGAAAAGACGTTCGAGTGCTTTTTGACTTCCTACCTTTCTCGAAGGCACGCGCACATATCGTTCCCGTCTTCCCTCTTAAATACCTTTGGGTCTTTGACATTCTGGCCTCTTTCCTCCGAGTCGTATTCTTCTCACTTTCATCATCTCCGCATGCATCTATTCCCTTTGCTCTGGACTATTCTTTCATGCCTACCTCTCTCTTTCTTTCAGCATCCCACTATTTCCTTTCAATGAATATTAACGCACCTTTTTGACTGTCGGCGCACACTCTTTCAGATTCAATTGCTTGGTTTGACTCATGGGGCTCATGGCTAAATGCTTTGGTGGGCTTTTGCGGTGACATGTTGTCTAGGTGTGGGGATAAATCTGCGGTGCATGCAGAACTTGCTCGGGGCCTGTTTGGCATGTCATCTTTGCCCTGCCTAATGGATGTCTTTTATATTTCGTCACACAGACTCTTGGCAGCAAACTGTTTTCTCTCATTGCTTACAACATTTTTTTTGGCAAGGAATCAGGCTGTTTTGTGTAGAGTGCGTAAGATAAAGTCATGCTGTGCATTAATCTTGTGTTTTTTGGATTGGCTAAGGCAAAATTTGACAACTCTACGTCTTTTATTTCGGGCCAAAGAGACAAGTTAGTGTGAAGAATCTCACTGTATTTGGCTTGAAGTACATCCGCAATAAATCAAGACAATCCCACGCTGTTCTTTGCCATTATTGTTTGAAATTGCCAAAACTCAGTTTGTGACTTGCTAATTGCCAATTTAATGGAGGAAAGTTTTGTTGTGACGTGCGGGGATTAGTAAGACTGTGTGCTGAGGAATCTCTGGTGCAAACACTTGGAAATGTTTTTAGACGGCGCGCTGTGTTTTAATCTTCGACATGATTTTTGGCCTAAACCTGATTCTGCTTTACACCTCTACACCCACATCATCCCCTTGACCCTTGAAAAAAGTATGATGAAATGAGATGCAATGACTACCTCTGAATCATCGCTAGCTTGTGTGTCATAAGAGAGGTTATCTGTTGCCTTCATATCTAACTCACTGGTAGTGCTGTCTAGAGTGCCATCTGCTGTTAAAACTAGCCTAGAGCTCCATCTAGTGTTAAAAACTAGCCTAGAGCACCATCTGCTGTTAAAAACTAGCCTAGTGCACCATCTGCTGATAAAACTAGCCTAGAGTGCCGTCTGAGATTTAAAAAACTAGCCTAGAGCGCCGTCTGCTGTTAAAAATTTCTGTTAGCACAACATCTGCAGTTAGAAACTAGCTTAGAACACCATCTGGTGTTAAAAACTAGCCTAGAGCACCACCTGATGTTTCAAGCTAGTCTAGAGCACCATCTGTAATTAAAAACTAGCCTGAAGTGCCGTCAGCGATTTAAAAACTAGCCTAGAGCGGCATCTGCTATTATAAACTATCCTAGAGCGCCATCTGCTACTATAAACTAGTCTAGAGCACCATCTGCTGGTAAAAACTAGCCTAGAGCACCACCTGCTGTTAAACACTAGCCTACATCGCCGTCTGCTGTTAAACACTGGCTTAGAGAGCCATTAAACACTAGCCTAGAGCGCCATCTGCTGTTAAACACTAGCCTAGAGCGCCGTCTGCTATGGAAGACTAGCCTAGAGCGCCGTCTACTTTTAAACACTTGCCTAGAGTGCCGTCTGCTACCACACACTAGCCAAGAGCGCTATCTGCTGTTAAACAATAGCCTAGAGCGCCAACTGTTATTAAAGACTAGCCTAGAGCGTCGTTTGCTGTTAAATACTAGCCCAGAGTGCCGTCTGCTGTTAAATACTAGCCTAGAGCGCCATCTGCTGTTAAACACTAGCCTACATCGCCGTCTGCTGTTAAACACTGGCCTAGAGAGCCATTAAATAGCTAGAGGCGCCGTCTGCTGTTAAACACTAGCCTAGAGCGCCAACTGCTATTAAAGACTAGCCTAGAGCGTCGTTTGCTGTTAAATACTAGGCCAGAGCGCCGTCTGCTGTTAAATACTAGCCTAGAGCGCCATCTGCTGTTAAACACTAGCCTACAGCGCCGTCTGCTGCTAAAAACTAGCCTACAGCGCCGTCTGCTGCTAGAAAGTAGCCTAGAGGGCCATCTGCTTTAAAAAAATTACTGTTA